ATACTAACATTTCTGACACAATACCATGTGCAGTTAGTGTTACTACAGTAGCCTAAATCTATGGTAAATTATGGCGATTTGTAGATTAAAAATTCTTCTGACTGTATCATTGCGCACAGTGTTTATGCTGTTTGTCAGCGCAGTTTCATCTGGTTCAGAGTTATTTGTGTTCCTCGCTGGATTCAAGCGCTTCACACTGGATCTCACAGCGCTGTTTATCGCTCGCGTGAGTGAACGCGCCGCCGTTTGAACTTTGAGCCGAGCGGATAAACGCTCAGAGTGGCGCGCTTCAAATTAGGGATGGGCGATACCACTTATTTTGTTTTCGATACGATACCGATACTTTTAATGGCCAGTATTGTCGATACCGATACGATACTTCTAAACTTAACTTTTAAATTATGAAATTTATTAAATTATTAAATTACTAAGAGTACAATGGGTAGTAATACCTACTTAACTTTATATTTGAAACGCATTTTAACATTCAATACGCCTTAATTGCAACTTATTAGTCTATATTTTTGTTTACTCATGGTCAAAATATGTTTACTGTAGTGGTAACCATGGAAATCTACAAATACTATAGTTAAACTATGGTCACTAGGAAAACCATGGTTCATTGTCATAAGGGACTGCCAATAATAGGCTGTTGCATGCATAAAATGTGACCTTTTTATTCAGAGAGTGTATGATTTATATTAACAATACAGAATAGAACATGAGCAATATGAACTTTTTACATTCAAATTTAAATAAATGTACTGCACAAACTAGCGTACGATTTCAATATGTTTATTGTGAAATAACTCAAACATATATGTTTTTTCTGCAGTGTTCTGGGCTGCCGTTCCCAAAAACATCAATGCTTTTTTATTATAGGCTACTTTTGGGAAACGCAGCTCTATTTAAATGCACTGTCAGAGGTGAGTGAACGCTCTCTGTAATTGATTGATTCTGCCTTGCAACATTTGCGTGTGTTCAGACGAGCAGGAAAATCCCTCCCACACAATTATTTGCTAACATAGGTTATTCGTCCAATTTAATGCATATTGTACGCATTATTTTTTGTTAAATAAACAAAATCACTGGTAAATAAAAACACCTTAGTATCGAACATTTTTTAATTTGAGTATCGATACTTTCGATACTCGCATCAGTATCGATATATCGATACTTCAGGATCGATTCGCCCATCCCTACTTCAAATGACTAGCACGTTTTCGTTCTGCCTTTCACCGTGTCTACACCGGACATGCCGCTCCGCAACAGCTAAAGTCTGTCTACACTGTCTGGACGCGTCAAAAATCATTTGAAACTTGTGTCAGTACGTCATAAATAGAACGCAGCAGCAATTTACTGTTGGGAATTTGTCGCGCCGCATCCAGTGTAGACAGTAGGGCTGTGCGATATTGAAGAAAAATGCGATATGCGATAACTCATTAAATAATGCGAAATTCGATATGCGATACGATAATGCTTAAAGTGCCACATGCTCAGATGAAACCGTTTTACTCAGCTGTTGCTGAGTCAGTTCTGTGAACTTCTATAACTATCTTGTGTCATATATATATGGTTATATGTATGCATGTATGTATGTATCAAGAGTTCCTGTAAAACCACAACAAAGTCCTTGTGTTTGCGCACACTTAAGTGGTGAATAAAGCTCATTCTGATTCTGATTCCAATAAGAAAGCACCCCTACAACAACTTCTGAAAGTGAACGGTAGTGTACTCGAGCATTACATAAAAATGTCATTTTAACATTAGTGTAATCATTTTAACATGAGTTTAGGAACTGAATAATAAAAAGCAAAAATAAAACACTGCTTAGTATTTACTCTTTGAATTCAATATGCACTGATTCTTATTTAAGCTACAAAAGTTATTTAGGTAAGAGCAGTGAGTGATTTTCTCTTTGTCTTTTGTTCATGGCCCCAAATATTGCAAGCTGTAGCGATATGCATATTGCGATATGTACATTTGCGATTATTTCGATAATTTCGATATACTGCACAGCCCTATATAACGCTATTGCTAGATTTGGCAGACAGAGTGCTGCACAAAAGACGTAGGCCTATTTTTAGAGACTGTGCAGACTTATAAGGCACCAAGAACGATAACTATAAAGATAACGATATTAGCGTCCACACCAGCGAATGATATCGTCTGTTTATTCTAAGTTATATTGCACAGCCCTAGTAGACAGCATAATAGGTTCTATTTTAGGACCTATTTTGTTGTGCAGCGCCGCTCGCGTCCAGTGTAGACACGGTGTTTGCCTCATAAACATTATATCGAACATTTATCGAACTCTTGTTATCGTTTATCGAGGAAATTTATATAGCGCGGTAATTATCGTTGATTTATCGCCCAGCCCTATTTCAGAGTGACTCAAAGGGTTAGTCCCTGCTTCTGCTCAAACCGCAGGTGTTCTGATGCTGCTAATTTGCTAAATGGCGAGCAGCCAGTTCAGCTTAATGGGATTTATTGTTGTCAAAGTTCCAGTTTCTATACGGAAGCAGAGCCTCGCGGCTTTGTTGTGGAAAGCTGACTCCTAAATAACAGCAAAGAATAAGAGCTAGTCCAGACCGGTCGGCAGATTTCGCTCTTCTCCCCTGCCCCGTCTTATTTCCTCTCGCAGCTCTGCAGAAGAGGCTTCAGCGTTTGCGGCATTCTGACAGAGAAATAGAGTTTCCTCATAGCCCTCGAGTCCTGTGACCAATCAGCAGGAGTCTGTGAAGAAGACGTGTTTGAGTCCTGACTGCGTGAGTGAAATTGTGCTGTGCTGTTGATCTAGCGATCGTCAACCTCTCGTGTCGAAGCAAAACAGCGTTTCTGACTGACTTCAGAAAGACATCTTTCACTTCTGCCTTTTTTTAATGAATCCCGTGATTTTTACTGAATGTTTCCACGAGTTCAGTCCCAGAATCTATTTTAAAGTCACGAAAGGTACATTTTAGTGAAATGCTTCATTTTGTTTGCCTTGGGAAAGAAATATTTAACACCCCCCCCCATTTTTGCTTCCATTTATTATTATTATTACTTAATTTAAAATAACAGATTTTGTTAGTTATTTTTATTTTGTAGTTAATTATTTATAAATATAGTTATTTATACTTAAAATTTTGGGAACAAAAATAATGACAATATAATTTATTTGTATATTTGTTAGTTTATTTATTTATTCATTCATTCATTTGTTTATTTATTCATTTATTTAACTTTTTATATATGTTCATTTACTCAGTGAACACAAACACATGGTCTGTAACGTCATGAGGTCAGTAGTGACCGGATCGTAGTTTTTGGGTGAGCTGTTCAGCAGTCCTGATTGGTTACAGTATCAGTTTAGTTTAGCCGTGTGCTTTGGAAGCGGGTCAAAGGTCGAGCGCAGGGAATCTTAATTAGGTTAGCGCCCTTCCCCCGGTCCATTTTTCCACTGCTGTCTGGCACAAAGCCTCCTCTTTAGCATGCAGAGCCACTTTCCCCGCGGCTGGGCTTTTGTGGGCCAAGTCCGGCGAACACTGCGGTGCATTGAGGGCCGGGGCCAGAGGCTGGCATTCGCCCGCGGCGCTAAAACACACCAGGTCCAGCGCAGACGGGCCGCCCCACACTGGAGGTGTGAACCCATGGAGGAGGAGATGGTTTTGTGGTTTTGCGTGCGATAACATCAAACTGCTCTTCACAAGTCGCAGAGTAAAAGCGTCGTCCCACACGTTCAGGCAGATTCACACGAATACAGAGCAGGGTTTATTTGCATCTGAAACCGCATGAATGTGATTTAATCTGATTTATGATGGAAGGTTTCCGTTCGTCTCTTTAGTCGCCTTTATAAAGTATTTAAATATATGCATTTTTGTTTTTTGTGGGTTTTGTTTGAAAGTTTATTTATCCATTAATTAAAAACATTACAATGAATACAATTAAATAAATGAAATAAAAATAATTTAAAATGACATAATGTCTTAATAATTAGTAATATAATTATTATTTGCATTTTGAATTTATCATATTTCATTTGATTAATTATATAAAATTAAGAGTTGTTTATTATTATTATCGTCGTCAAACAATAATAATCATAATAATGTTTTAATAATTTTTTTAAAATTACATAGTTTATTATTGTTATTATCTGTTACTGTTGTTTTTATTATATTTGTATTTTATTTATTCTATTTTTTTATGATTAATAATTAGTACTAAGATATTCATTTATATAGATATTTACAGAAAGAATAATAAAACATATTTATCGGGTTTTCAATTAAATACGGTTCTTAATTTTTATTTATTTATTTTAGTTGTTTTTGTTACTAATAATTAGTAATAAGGATAATTATTATTTACAGAATAATGATGATTAATTAATAATAATGTAAAATGTACATTTTGAATTAAATAGTTTATTATTGTTTAGCTATGATTATATTTTTGTTTCTATATTATTGTTTAGCAATTTTTTGTTTCCATTTATTATTACTAATAATTGATTGTAATAATCAATTACTATGATGATTAAGAAGATTATTAAAATAATTGTTGTTGTTATGTGACTTGTTAATAACAATAATGTTAATAGATAATAGTTAAGTGATGATTCATATAATAATAATAATACAATAACTATTATTATTATTATGCATTGTTAATAATTGATGGTAATAATGAATTATTATTATGCTTATGAAGAAAATTATTAAAATAATTATTATTATTATGCCACGTTAATTACAATAATATTAATAATTGATGATGATAATCAAATGAAGATTATAATAATAATACAATAACAATTTATTATTATTATTATTATTATTATGCATCATGGTAATATTATAATTATATTATTAATAATGTTTTAATTATTAATAATAAAATGTTTATTATGTTTTGGATTAAGTGCACACTTTTAAACCAATAAATACATTTTTCTTTTTACAAAATCTCGTTTTACAAAGTCATACATCCTGGTTTTTTTCTTCTCTCTCTTGCAGGCGTTTGGCAACGCAAAGACGGCCCACAACGACAACTCCAGCCGATTCGGGAAGTTCATCCAGGTCAATTACCTGGAGAGCGGCGTGGTGCGCGGGTGAGTGTCTTTATCAGCTGCTGTTTGTCTCTCTCTCTCTCTCTCTCACACACCACACACACACCGTCTGACGTCACTTCCTCCTTCACAGCGAGAGGAGCTGACACACTTACTCCTCAGAAGTCAGAAGACCTCTTAACTGAGATCAGTTTCTGTGGTTTATTTTTCGTTCTGGGCAAATTTCACATGTCATCTGAACCGCCATCTGTCGACTGTTCTGTTTTTATCTGTTTGGAGTCGCCCTTTTTGGCTTCTTTCCATTCACTTGAGAGGCTTAATGTTTACCTGAGGTTTGAGCGAACCGATTCCGAGGCCAGTTTGGCCCTTAAAAAATAAAACTGAACAAAAAGGTTGCGCAGTAAAAAGAAAAGGTCTGTGAATTTCATTTAAACATTTTCAGATAATGAAGTAATAAATCATCGAATGATTGAATAGCAATTAAATAAAGAAATAAATATGATGTTTACAAGTAAATAGGTAAATTTAATAACTAGCTAAATAAATTATATATA